TCCTTTCGTATTTGAAGCAATGATTTTTTTACCCGTTCGTGGTAATCGTTCAAGGTGACCTTCACATTTTCAAATTCAGCCTTCACGTACCTCAATATTTCTGTCGGATCCCATTGTGATCGCAGTTGTTTCTCCTCTCTCGATTGTACCCTTTTCTTCCACGACGCCAACTTTATTCGATCTCTTCCTTAGAAAACATACTCATTTTTTTTTACGCTCAACAATTACCCCCGCAAACAAAATTCAAACGATTTTTTTTTCTTACTCACGCAACTCACAAAAAAAACAACTTCTTCTTCTTCTTTTTTTTTTTAAGAAGCACTCACGCACGCAAACCCCCACAAATAAACAATTTCTTTTTTTTTTTTGTTGCTAACCCTTACTCACGCAAAAGAAAGCTCACGATTTTTTTTTTTTTTGGATCTGAACTAAAAAAGAAACGAAAAGAAAAATCCAAAGAAAACAAAATTGAAAGAGAAAGATAAAGTCTAACAAGATACATGATCAATCACTCTCAATGAAAGCACCAATGATGAAGATCGTGTATCTGGCTCAACTCGACTTGCTTCGAAAGTTGCTTTGCCACGGCTTCCTTCTCGGCAATAGGTGTGGACGACTCGGATTTCTCCTTATCTTCTCACGATAGGTGAGACAGCTCGGACGTGAATCCTTGCCAAACTCGAGCTTATGACGAACTATGCGGTGAAACGCCCTTTTCGCACAAGGATTTTGTACTAAAACTCAAAAGAATTCTAACAAAAGATATTGGTGACCAAAGGTCGATTTTTCATTAATTCATTGCTTGAATAAAATTGAATGAGTACATAGGTATTTATAAGAAAAACTAGATCTAGTCCTATGAGAGCTATAATTCTAACTAGGAAATAATATCTAATTCTAAAGTAATAATATATCTAGAATCCTAATAATTACCAACTAATTAAATCATAATTCCTAACTAACACGGCTAACCAAACGCTAACAAATAAATATTTATACTAACCTAATGACTAACCTGGTACTCAAATAATAATTACTAATCCTAACAATACTAAATAACCTAACACTAACAACTAACTTCACGCCACTAACATATTAAATAATAATTAACTAATCTAATATTTAACTAAATAATAACTAATCTAATTAATAAGTATCTTCTAGAATCTTCGCCAATCGGCTCGCACGACTCGCCTCGTGTATTCGTGCATCACGTCCGTGTACGCCCCCGCGTGCCTCCTTGCACGCTATTTCTCGCCTCACGAGACCTCTCTAACCTTCTCGTGCGCATGTCTCATACCGGGTCTCACCCAGTTCTCGTCGTCAACCTGCAGGGTTTCCAGGTCTCAGCCATGCGCGTCTTGAACTCGTAAATAAGCCGGAGGCCATGCGTGTGTCCAAGGCTCACGTCGCCTTCCTCGTGAGCCTCACATAAGG